AAGACAAAGCACGTTTCACTGTATGCAAAAGCCTTCCTCAATGGAAGGGCCAAGAGAAAGCCCTTTACTGGGAGGAATTGCTGTACTAGATCATTTTGCCTCCAGCTGTGAAACTGATTAATGTCCTCAGAGTCTCCACGGAGGCTCCACTGCAGTCTCCGAGGCCATTTCCAAGCAGAGAGGGAAGGGGGGAGTGGGGGAGTTGAATAAGAGGGGAGGGTGAGTCTCTAAGAGCTTCCTTCAGGAGGTTGAAAAGGTGTGGGGGCACCCAGAGAAGAAATGCCAGTAAAGGTAATCATTCCCATGCACGTAATTCCTCTCTTCTGTATGTTGGAGCCATTGTTGATGCACAGCTCTGGGCCCCGCCCGCCCTGCATTCTCATCACCACACAGAAAGTGTCCAGGCAGGGGCACCAGTGCAAGATCTAAACCTGTGCCTGGCCAGGACAGTAGCCACTGGTCTGTGTCCACATGACTCAAGCATTGAAACGTGGCTGGTGTGAATGGAGATGAGCTGTAAGCGTAAAATACACACATCAACTGAGGACTTTGTATGAAAAAAAGAATGTGAAACATCTCGTTAATCACTTTGTTGATTATGTGTTGAAGTAATAATATTTTGGATATATTGAATTTAATTTCTCTTGTTTTATTAATGCTTCCTATGTGGCTACTAGGACATTTAAAATTACACAAACAGCACTCATTTCTGGCTCACATTCCAGCTCCATCAGTCAGTGCTGGTCCAATATTGAATAATCGTGGTCCAAACAATGTACCACTCCATGATTTTTAAATGTCTTTTAAAAGGGAGGAGCAAATACCAGGGGTTTCTGGATTAGCCCCTATTTTACGGTATCTATGACACCATTTCACTTCATTAAGCTGGAGAAGGGTTATGAGATTTGTCATTGTAAAGGAGTTGGGGTTTTTGCACATGTCCTAAAGCTATTTCTTTCAATCCATCCTTCATTCTCTGGTTGCTGCAATCAGCACATCATGGAGCCCACCAGGTTCACATGACAGGCCCTAACCAAGCCTCGGTCACTTCAGGCTTTGGTGTTTTTATTAAAGTTAGTCCTGGTTTATTGAATAGTTAGTTTGGCCAATAGCAAATTAACCTATCTAGTCCTTTCTCCTTTTACAGAGCACTCACCCCCATTCAGTACCCCCAAGCATCCAGAATAAAATGCCCGAGCACAAAGGACATAATACACATAACCCTTCCTAAATTGTTGTTGCTATTTTATTTTATTTTATTTTAGAGATATGGTCTCATTCTGTCACCCTGAATAGAGAGGCATCATCATAGCTCACAGCAACCTCAAACTCCTGAGCTTAAGTGATCCTCTTGCCTCAGAGTAGCTGGGACTACAGGTGCCCACCACAATGCCCAGTTAGTTTTTCTATTTTTAGTAGAGACAGGGTCTCACTCTTGCTCAGGCATGTCTGGAACTCCTGAGCTCAAGCAATCCACTCACCTTGGCCTCCCAGAATGCTAGGATTACAGCTATAAGCCACCATACTGACCTGTTGCCCTTTTTTAGTCTGAGAAGGGTTCCTCCCAGATCATGTTCCCTGCACCTGCAGGCTGGCTACTGCCTTTCTGTCCAGCTGTTAGTTCCAGCACAGGTGTTAAATACTTCATTAGCACTTTCTGTTTCAACTCTGAGCACTACCCCCACACCCCCATCCCCCTCACAAATAGCTCCTGAACTCACTGCAGAAGCCACAGCTCCAAGCCCCTGCTCAGCTCAGAACCCCTTGGAAGGCACTACATTTTTTTAAAGTAGGCAACACCTGCTGCAGTTGCTTCCCACCTGGGCTGTTGCCTTTCATCTGAAAGGCCAACAACCTGACCTAGGAGGTGTTTTTAAAGGGGCCACAAACTTACTCAGGCTGCATAATTTGGAAAGATATATTAAAAACGTAGTTTTCACAATATATTTGTCTTCACAACTGAGATTCCTTCCACTTTGCCCCCAAGTTTGCATCTTGTACATATTTTACACTAAGGACCACCCCATTGAATTATAATTATTTAATGAATGCCTGTGTTGGAGATCAGAACCTGACACCCCAAAATATGGCACATTGGCAATTGAGAAAACCTCAGAAGCAAGGCCACTCTGATTTTCTTCCAAATTTCTTCCCTGAAGTATGGTCATAAAAGAATTTTCTGACCTACCTTGCCTGAAAGTAGGTAATAAACCGTCTTTCCAGAGGGTGCCTGCCCTATACCTGACAGTCAAGAACAGTCTGAACAGACAGGCCTTGCTCAGCTTCCCAGGTTTATTACCATTAGATCTTATCTTGTTGTCCAGTCACACTTGTCATACTTCTACACAACTGCCCATTCTTCATTGAAACTAAGCAGAAAAAAATATTTCCCTGGGTCTTCGGGTCTTCATTTCTGAAGCCTTCAGTGTCATATAAAAACTTTGGTTAAATAAATGTGTTATGTTTTTCTCTTGTTAATCTTTCTTTTGTTAGAGCAGCCATTGTCAGCTGTAAACCTCGTGACACAGGAAAAAAAGATACTTTTCCGCCTACATAAGAATGCCTCCCACACAGACTGTTAAGTTTTTTGGTTTTTCGTGTTTTTTTTAGATAGAATCTCACTCCATCACCTAGGGTAGAGTGCCGTGGCATCATAGATCACAACTACCTCAAACTCTTGGGCACAAGCAATTCTCTCTCTCTTTTTTTTTTTGCAGTTTTTTTGGCTGGGCTGGGTTTGAACCTGCCACCTCCGGCATATGGGGCCAGCACCCTACTCCTTTTTGAGCCACAGGTGCCGCCCTCAAGTGATTCTCTTGTGTCAGCCTCCCCAGTAGCTGGGACTACAGGCGCCCACCACCATGCCGCCTAGTTTTTCTATTTTTAGTAGAGATGGGGTCTCACTCTTGCTCAGGCAGGTTTTAAACTCCTGAGCTCAAGCAATCCACCCACCTTGGTCTCCCAGAATGCTAGGGGTACAGGTGTGAGCCACTGTGAACGCATATGCAACCCCAGACTGTAAATTTCTTAAGGTCAGTATGTCCTATTCACCTCAGGATCCAAAGTATCTAATAGAATTCATAGAGTGAATTGTTGGTGAATGTTGAAATGAACAAAATATGTAAGTGAAGTATTATATTATATTTTGGAGTCCTGGGTGGAGTATATATTCTCCACCCAGGATTCCTTTTCCCTGCTTACTACCAAACAACAGTGGCCATGTGACTGAGTTCTGCCTGTGAGAGGTAGCAAAAGTTCTCTGGGTAGCGCTTCCAAGAGAGTTTTGTTTTTCTGCCCCAAAAAGAGACAGACGGGGCCTGCCCACTTGGCTCTTCTTCCTTCCTTCTTTCTTCTTCCTGCAGGGAACTCAGAAGTAAAGCCTGGCAGTGTAGCAGCCGTCTTGCAAGCATGAGGTTAGAAAACAGACAAAGCCAACAAACATGCTTTGGATGGAAGAGCAGAAACAGAGGAAGAGCCCACGCTCCTGATGGCAGCAGCTGCACCAGTGCGGAACTGCCTGCTGCCCACGAGTCTAGATATCTTGTTATTGCTGAAGAAGAAATCCCCTGTCTACCACTGTGGTTAAGTTTTCCATTATTTGCAGATAAACACATTTTCTAACTGGTATAACGAGTATATTATTAATAAGTATGCAGTTAAAGCACCTGGTATTAATCTTAGCACATAGTAGACACCCTTAAGCGTTTGCACATTCACTCATTCACGTAAATGTTGGCATGAACGAATCTTGAATGAATGAGTGAAGGAATGTTTTTTTTTTTTACACAGAAGAATCATCTTCTAATAAAAACAGACTATTCTCTTCCTTTGTTTCAGACCCTGTAGACTACATATATTTGTCCTGGAGTTTATTCCCAAGGCTTACTTCCTCCTGTTAGAAAAAGTAGTCCTGTTGAAGCTACAAATCATGCAGCAAACTGTAGAAACAGCCTCCTGGTGTCACCAGTTCCCTGAGTGTCATATTCCAAGGATTCTCTGTTAGGCAGGCCTGGCAGTTGTGTTGCCGGCTCCAAGGTTAGTCTGGTGGGATTTGCTTTGTTTTTATCTAACCTGGGCTCCCCAGCTGCAGTGTATGCAGAGGTGGTAGGAGTGTTGGTGAGAGGGCTAGTAGCTGAGGCATCTATACCCAGGAAGGAAGGAGCTAAGAGGCTTCTTCACCTGAAGGTTGGTGGTTATAATAGCCCCACTGATAGTTCCATTAAGGAAACGGATAAAAATGGGAGAGAAGAGGCCAGGTGCTGTGGTCCATGCTAGGATTCCCTAGCACTGTGGGAGGCCAGTGGGAGAATCTCCTCATCTCAAGATTTCAAGACCAGTCTTCGCAAGAGCAAAACCCCAGAGACCCTGTCTCTACAAAAAAATAGAAAAATTAGTCGGGCATAGTGGTGAGCCCCTGTAATCCCAGCCACAGGCAGAAGGATCACTTGAGCCCAGGAGTTTGAGGTTATTATGAGCTAGAATGATGGCCAGGGCAATAAAGTGAGACTCTGTCTCAAAAAAGAGGGTAGGGGGAGAGAAGAGACATCCACAATCTCGTATAGAACCATCGAACCCAGTCGCCTGCTCTGTAATCTAGAATCTCTAGGAATCTTTCAAACTTTTTAAAATTTGGTTCCAAGTAGCTTGGCTCTATCTCTTGAGAAAGATATGTTAATGCCTGGTTTTAGGGTATACAATTTATACTTACTTTTAAAATAATATAGGTGGATTTTTATTAGCTTAGACTTTTTAAAGTATTGAACAGTTTTGCTATGCCCAGCACTATGCTAAGTGGTTTTACAGTGGTGGGGTAGCTGGGGTGTCTATCTCCAGAGCTGGCTTACCCATTCCTACCATCCCGGTACTCTGTGCTATGGACATGGACAGCATAGTCCCCAGTTGCCACTGGCCAAACCCACCCTGCCAAGACTCTGGACACAAGACTCCTGTGTCAAAGCCAACATGGACAAGCACCTCTTCACTATGACAGGGACACTTACACTGAGGGGTGTGTTTTGCCTTGTGTCTTCTGGATCAAAGGCCTCAACCTGGTAAATGAATCCAGGGTTGGCTTCTACTATGTAGAGGTCGAGACCTACACCAATGGCCAAAGTGGAAAAAGACAATTTCATTAGAGAAAGCAAATGAGGAATTCCAAATTCAGGGCAGCTGTATACAACCAAAGGGAATGAACATGTTGGCATTTGGGGACAAAAGGAAGCAATAATGAAAGCCGCTGGCCAACTTTCCATTTATGGGAATTCATTTACAGGAATTCATAAGGTGCTAGGGTTGGACTAAAACAATAGACTTGGGGGGTTTCAGTATGTGGATGGCGTTCAAAGCCATCACCTTCGGTGAGATCATGTAGGAAGTCACTATACACTCTGGCCCCTTACATTGTCCCTGTTCTATGCAGACACACACTGCCCTCAAAGAGTCAGAGCCCCAGGGGGAATGTACAAGTTGGTTGTTGACCACAGCACACAGGGCTGGGCCTATAATGGGTTCAGCCTCGGTTCCTTCAGAAGGATTCACTTGAGGTCTCTGAGCCCCAGTTTCTTCCCTAGGACTAGACAGGGACTTGTGCCCTCTGGATATTCTTGAATTTTCTCATTGCTAAGATGGTCCACAGGAAACCACAGATGAGACAGGCTATTGGGAGCGCTGAGTGAGCTGGAGGGCATTTCATTTATTCCCTGCTCATTAAGCATCTGCCTTTTCCAGGGAAACAGATGCTTATTTATTTACATTTTCTGTTTTCCTCTGCTCCCCAGAGTCCTGCCTAACACCCCCATCTGGGCTGCAGTGCACACCCTGCTGTATTTTACCTTTCGCCAAGTTGCCTTGAAACTGAGGTGGCTCATTCACATCTGTTACCTGGACAGTCAGGACCTGGAGGTCTGTGACACCAACCTCATCCATAACATAAATCTGTAAGTCAAATATATTTGGTCCGGCTTCAAAATCTAGTGGTTCCTTCCCAGTGGTGACAACCTAAAACAAAAATGCAAAATTGTTAGTAACCGCATGCAAGAAGATCTGTTTTGTATGCATGCAGTTTGCAGAGGGATTATTTCAAGGAAGGAAGCAACCAGCATCCTAGAGACCAGCTTCCATTCGCTGTCAGAGGAACTGGTTAGTCCTTCCAGAAGAAGCCCTGTGCCTCTGCGCTGGAGGGCTGCACGTGATATTGCTTTTCCGAGGAAGGAGATATATTTGGAGGTGTTCTGGTGCAATGGGCTGGAGATGGAAATTAAAAAACTCGCCACTGGGGGTAGGCTCCCAGGCTCCCTTGGGTCCTCTGGATATTCTTGAATTGCCTCATTGCTGAGAAAGGATGCGGTACTTCCCTGGGATGGTAGTTAAATTACTCCATTCTAATTTTCCTGAGGCCATATCCAGGAGGGAACAGAAAAGAAGGATATATCTGCATAAATAAGGAATGATATTTACTTAATCAACAGACTGGTCACTTTTTTATGCCTTTCCACATATTCTTCCATTGTCAGGAGCTTTGTCCTCTGCACTGTAAGTGTTTTTAGAGACATGGGAGAGATGCCTAGAACCAAGGCCAGAGAGACATTGGCAGAATCTGGAGCTGCTGATGCAGGGACACCAGTGGCCCCTGTTGGGAAGGTCCTTCTGAAGCTAACCAGAGTCCAGCCTGCGACCTCTCACAGGGGTAGACACAACCCTTCCACTAACTTGGAGCCCTTGGAGCTCCCAGAAGGCCCAGAGTCCTTTGGGATATTGAGGACTAAATCTCGTACGTGTCCTCAATTATGCTAATATACCGTTTTGGTTACTAATACATGTATGATTGAGCCAGGTGGTGAGAGTATCCCATAGCACAGAGAGCACATGGCTCCAGACCTATGTCCAGCTCTGAACTTCCATGTGACCTTGGGAAAATCACTTTACCATTCCCTGATTTTGTCTCCCTGTGATTGTAATTAGGTAAATCATTCTTGCCCTAGTTAAACAGCTGAAGTATAATGCAAGGTATTACATTAATAATAAAAATCTAGGTCAGGACTCTATGGAAAATCAGGGGGAGAATAGTCCATTGCAAACTGTGTTTTGTTGGGGAAGACCTCATGGAGGGGGTGGTAGGTATTGTGCTTGACTTTGCAAGTTCTAGATTAGTTAAAAGAGAAGACAGCCACAGATGTGGATAAGTATACACAGTGGAGAGAGAAACTGTGCAGGAGGGTTGAGAAGAGGTGGTCCTGTGCCAACTAGTGAACAGGGTCACCTGGGGACCACACGAAGGGAGATGGCCTGGTCTCTATGCCAGGGATGGAGAGCACAGACTCTGGAACCAGACTGACTGGTTTCCAGGCACAGCCTTCTCGTTACTCAACACTCAACATTTCTATGACTCAGGTTTCCTATCTGTAAAATGGGAGTTATAGGGTTGTTGTGAGAATTAAATGATCTAATCCGTGGAAAATACTTAGAACACTGTCGGGCACTGAGGAAGCACTCCACAAATGGGGACTTCTGTTAGATTAGGCAGTCAAAAACTGTTTAAGTCAAAAAAAAAAAAAAAACTGTTTATGTCTGTCTACCACAACAGGTGGGCTTCTGTTGAAATGGTCTGTGCTGTTTCCAAACTGATACCTTAGCTTCCTATTCATACTAAGCCTGGAGCCTCCTCCTGCAAGGATAGACCTTTTACCTCTTAGTATTACCAATTGTCAGCCTCTTCTTCTTAGAACTAGTTCTAACACCCTAGAGGAAGAAAACAGAACAGTCAAAAAAGGGTACAAAAATGTTATACCTTGAACCAAAAGAATTGGGTTGCTATCAACCAGAATAAAAGAATTGTTGTTGCCACCAGCTTCATTAGATGGCACATACCAGACTCTTGCCAAGCCATTTGCGGAAGTATCTCTTTTAATCATCACAATGACCCTAGGTTGGTAAAACTTCCCTCATTTTACCTAGGAGACTAACTAGAGCAAGGCAGGGCAGGGGCTCTTCTGAGGTCACAGGTGGGAGTCATGAAGCCTCGGTTTGGTTTCGGGCAGTCTGGCTGCAGAGTTTTGGTGAAAGACAGTAAGTTGGGCTTTAAGCATTGTTAAGTTTGAGGTTGTTCAAGACAGGGCTGAGCAAATTAGCACAGTGCTCACGACAGTGAATGGGAAAAGGGGGAAGTCAGGTTCCAAGACAGACAGATGAAAGAGGGGCAGGTGCCTGGCTGCACAGGACCTCAGAGAAGCCTCTTTTGCAGCTGCTGCCATACAGGCATCCCTCCTCCCTGACTTCTCAAGGCTTCCTTGGTGGTGCTGCCCTGAGAACAACACTGGACCCACCATTAGCCACAAGTGGTTGAATGCAGCTCTGACATCTCTATTGCTGGGAAATAGCAGTGCAGGATGGGGACTTTGAACGAGGATTCAGGGGCCCATCCTGCCTGATCCCCTGCAGATCTCAAATCTGCCACCTCCCAGCTCTGTGAACTTGGACAACTTGCTCAACTTTTCCCTGCCTCAGTTTTCCCACCTCTAACATTCAAAGAATAACAATAAACCACTTCATAGTGTGGTCTGGGGGATTAAATTAATGAATCACAAAATGTTTAGGGGGATTCTTGGTGTATGGGAAGTGCTCCATAAATGTGAGTTATCACCATCATCATTATTACTAATCCTCCTCATCACCTCCACCCCAGAAGTCTCAGTGCCTGTGTTCCAAAGCCTGGCCTCTTGCATGATCCATAGCTCACTCTCAGAAAGCACAACTGAGTCACAAGGCCAACAGTGACCTGACCTCTGGGCTAGAGGCCCAGTAACTTCATCTCTAGATTTGTCATCATCCAGAGCATCAAGGCTACCCAAAGAGGAGCCGTGTTCTGCCACAGATACTGTCATGTACAGAAGGTGGCAGGAGTGTCTCTTATGAGAAGTTTGGGTTGGAGAGTAAGATCGTCTTGGAGAGATGGTTGACAATGTTGGGTAGTTTTTGAGAAGAAGCAACCAAGTCTTTCTCCTTTTTTTCTTTCTCTTTATTTCCTTCCTTCCTTCTTTTCTTCTCTTCTCTTTTCTTTTCTTTCTTCCTTTTTTTTGAGACAGGGTCTCACTCTGTCACCCAGGCTGAATGGCAGAGGCACAACCATAGCTCACTGCATCTTCTAGCTCCTTGACTGAAGTGATCCCCTCACTTCAGCCTCAAAGTATCTAAAACTACCAGCACGTGCCACCACATCCAGCTACTTTTGAAAATTTTTTGCAGCAATAGAGTCTTGCTATGTCACCCAGACTGCTCTTGAATTCCTGGTCTCAAGTGATCCTCCCACCTTGGCCTTCGAAAGTGCTAAGATGATAGGAGTGAGCCAGAAGCCTTGGCCAACAACCAATTCTTTCTCTTTTCTTTCTTTCTCTTTTTTTTTGTTTCTTTTTTTCATTGTTATTGTTTTAGGCACCTAGGTAGCCTTGAACAACAACCAGTTTCTAAGAATGGCTTGAGGACTGTGAAACTATGGCCCATCCCAGGACCAACACAGGCCCCTGGGCAGCTGCGTGGTATGATCTCGGAACAGAGGGTTGGGACAATACGCTAGACACTTGAGCCTTAATTAATTGAGGGGCTAAGACAGGACGGGACTCTTCCCTGAGTGACAGTCCTGCTTGAATGACATGAAATGTAGGAAGAGCAGATCCAGTGAAGACAGATCTGGGAGGAACAGCAAGAGATGTGCACGGCAATGCAGGACAAAGCCTGGGATTGGAAACCAGAAGACCTGACTTAAGTTTGTATTTCATCTTTTATGGCTGTGTGATCTTGGACAAATCCCTCAGTTTCTCCATTATCTTATATCTAAAATAGGAATAAAAAAAGCTGGCTGCAGTGGCTCATGCCTATAATCCCAGCACTCTGGGAAGCCAAGGCAGGTGGATCACTTGAGCTAAGGAGTTCCAGACAAGCCTAAGTTATAGCCAGACCTCGTCTCTAAAATTAGTAGGGTGCCGTGGCGGGCAATTGTAGTCCTAGCTACTCGGGAGGCTGAGGCAAGAGAATCACTTGAGCTCAAGAGTTTGAGGTTGCTGTGAGCTATGACGCCACGCACTCTACCAAGGGCAACACACTGAGACTCTGTCTCAAAAAAAAGAATAAAAAGGAATAAAAAATTTAAATAGAGATAATATTCATGTTAGTTGTAATAATCAGGAGATCAGGTATGTGACTGTGACTCGGAACCACTATGCAAATTCAAAGGAACTCATCATCCTGTCATCAAAGGCAGTGGACCACGGAGGCTGGGGAGCAAGAAGTCTCAAGTGTCAACAGCCCAATGTCTGCAGTTACAAACAGATAAGCAAAATGTGCACTAGCCACACAATGAAATGTTATTCATCCATGAAACAAATGAAGTGCTGATGCATGCTGTGACATAGGTGACACCTAAAACTTGATGCTAAGTGAAAGAAACCAGTCACTAAAGACCACATAGCTCATGTCTGTAATCTCAGCATTCTGGGAGGCTGAGGCAGATGGATACCTTGAGCTCAGGAGTTCGAGACCAACCTGAGCAAGAATGAGACCCAGTCTCTGCTAAAAAGAGAAAAACTAGCCAGACATTGTGGCAGGTGCCTGTAGTCCCTAAAACTTTAGGTTTCTGTGAGCTATGAAGCCACAGCACTCTACCCAGGGCAACAGAGTGAGACTTTGTTTCCCAAAAAAAAAAAAACTACATTGGCAAATTCACAAAGACAAAAAGTACATTTTTCTTTGCCAGGGACTAGGGGTATAAAGGACTAGGAGAGTGATTGCTAATGGATACAGGTTTGGGGATGATGAAAATGTTCACAATTAGATTGTGGTGATGGTTGCACAACTCTGTGAATATACTAGAAACAATGAATTGTACAATTTAAGTGGGAAGATTATATGCTCCGTGAATTGTATTTCAATAAAGCTGTTTTTAAAAATGAGAGCTTTAAAGCAGGACTTCCTGGGTTCTAATCTCTGCTCATCCACCTACTAGCTGTGCAACCCAGGGCAAATTACTTAACCTCTCAGTGTTTCATTTTCCCCATGAGTGAGAAGATAAAATCCTCATGATCTGAGGATTATAAGAGAAAGACATGCAAAGTTCTTCCGATAGTGTCCAGCATACACTGTATATGGGGAAGTAATCGGTAAGGCTAATAGGAGCAGATGAGCAACAGCTGGTAAGGACAAGCCAGCTGTCGAGGGAGCAGGTGGACAGCATGGTTAAATCACAGAACCAGCACCTGGGGTCCAGTGGTATAAACCAGATGCTAGGATGAAGACTGACTGAATCTGTGCTCCTTGCACACCTGAGTGCCCACCTAGGGTGATGAGAACACCAGATATAGGGGCTCTGGCTCTAAGTCATGAATTCTGCAGATCTCCCATCAGGTCCAAGTAGGCATGCTTTGTAAACACCCCCCTACTGATGAGCCAGGTTTAAGAACAACTAGTAGGAACCTCAGAGAAGCAAGAGACCCTAGACCCTCCTGGGGGTGTCCAACTGGGCCCACAGGTTATCTATGAATGCTTATCCAAGAGCTGTCTTGTGACAGACAGTACATCCACAAACACTAACAAAAGCTGGTGAGCAAAAAAAGGGTCCATGCGTAATTTTTGTAATACCTGCTACCAGATAAGCATTTATGGCCAGTCATGGGCCTCAGTTGGACTCTTCTGTGACCAAGAAGGCCTGAGTCCACTGGGCCCCACAAAGACCCTGGGGGGATGGAAGATGGGACAGTGGCAGGCCTGGTGATAACTGCAGGAGGCTCCTAGGCCAGCTGAGGAAGGGGTAGGAGAGGGGAATCTCAAAGTCTAGCTAGGTCTAGACACCCGGCCCCTGAAGACATGCTTAGAAGACTTGAGGTTATCAGCAGAAAACATACAATGAGCAGGTTTGTCCTTTCCATGGGAAGTGACAACTTTGAAAAAGACTCAAATGACAGGAAACAGAGCAGCAGTGGCATGGCCCTTAAAGGTCCATGATCAAGTCTGAATTATCCAAGGAAACATTTAAACAGCACGAGTGGACAGTTAGACTCGTATTTTTATTCAAGGCTGCCTATCTTATTAAATGTCTCTCCTCTTAGATTTCCTTCTAAAAAGTCACGGAATCTTGGAAAAGCAGAGTCAGCAGACACAAGTCCATAAAGGCACGGCTCTTAAGGAGCTCAATACCCAAATTATCTCACCAAAGGGATTTGGCACTGAAAGCACACCTAACACCTGCCAGGGGTGTTGGCAAAACAGAAACAGGCTTCTATTTAGAACAAATTGGCCATGATGTTTATGTGGACGGTATTAAGTGGAAAAATTCCAGAGGCATCTAGCACAGAAGCTCTGGGATGGCTCAAATGGGACTCCTGGATATTAAAAGAAGGAAGATGAAACTAGGGACAGGGGAAGAAATCATCACTGACCTCGAATCCCACCCAGACCGATTCTCAGGATCACATCTCTGCAGACAACTCCTGCAGAGGGAGCGGCTTACCTCAAAGTCAGTGCCTGACAGCCTATTGACCCGGAAGGCTTCTTCAGTGACGGGATTTGAGTTGATTATCAGGGGAAACCCAGGGGCTACAGGTGACAGGGATGCTGACAAATTCACAGAAAACTTGTGCACTGAAGTCTCAGGTGGAGAATTCTCTGCCACGTTGCCTGTAGCAGGTAAGAGGGTCAGGTGTAGCGCCTCTTGCCCTGTGGATTTAAAAAGGTTACAAAACCATATGAGCACAGAAACTTCTGCTAGGAGCAGGGACCCAACAGCTTGGTCTGTGGCTTCAATCCATGGCTTGGGAAACAATGGGACCTGGTCACTCCCCAAGGACGGGTGCTTCTGTCAAGTGCTAAAAATGAAATGCGAGATCTTCTGGGGACCAAGAAAACAAATACCACCGAGCAACCAAGAAATCTGCTCTGTCACTCAGTAAATAAAGCTGCTGCTTTTCTTGTCTCCCTGCTTCCGGTCTCTTTTCTTCTGGGCTTTGTGAAGAGCCAGGGAAAGAGAAATGTGACACCTTAGGAGACAGACACCCACTTAAAGGACCTAGTCTGGTAATGCCATCCTCTATCTTGCAAGGGCCCAGCAGTTTATAAGAGTTTGTTTTGCTTCCTGGCGTCAGTGTCTGATCCAGGAAGTCCTCTGAGAATTGGGAGTGTGTGGCTGGAGAACTCCAACATCCTGGTAGATCTCCCCATGCCTATTAGTCATCTCAAGGACAATTATTTGCTGTTGTTAGATGCTGTGCGCACCCTGTGGAAGGTCATCTAGTACCTCTTAATTGATTAATTAACTCCATTTCACAGAGCAGTAAACGAGATACTTGGAGAGGGCACGTGAACTGCATTGAGCTGCATTACAGACAGGGAATTCCACAATTTTAAGTGTGTTTCTTCCAGGACAACCTTGGGACCATTCTAAGATCTCCAGGACACCCTGCAAGATTTTGTGTAGTACAGAGGAGAGCAACAGGCCAGGTTCTCTCATGCTTCTATAATAATGGTTAGGATAGTGAGATCGAATAGTGTCCCCAAAGACAGACAGTTCACCCAGCAGAATGTACCTTCTTTGGAAATAGTCTTTGCAGGTGTGATTAGTTGAGAGCAGGTTATACTGGATTGAGATGGGCCAAAATCCAGGGACTGGTGTCCTCATAAGACAAAGATAGGACAGACACAGAGGGAAGAAGGCCATAAAGCAACAAGGCAGAGAGTGAGTCACGCAGTTACAAGCCGAGAATGGAGAGCGACACCAGAAGACAGGAGGTAGGAGCAGGTTTTCCCTCAGCCTCCAGAAGGAAGCAACACTTGAGGTCAGACTTCTGGTTCCTGAACTGGGAAGGGATGAATTTCTATTGTTTTAAGCCACCCAATTTGCAGAGATTTGTTATGGTAACCCTAGGAAACTAATATAATGACCACTTATCCAATGTTTCAAGTAAGTGCCTAATCCTTCATTTCATTTACTCATCAACAACCCTCTCACAGAGGTATCAATGCCATCATTTTACAGATGAGGAAACTGAGCTAGAAGAAACACAGCAAATAGCAGATACCAGAGCCAAGATTCACACTGAGAGGCCAGCCTCCCAACCTTGGCCACCAATGGCCATGGGGGTCAAAAAAATCTAGAAAAGTAGAAGACAAAAGCGGGGACAGGGACCGCAGAGGGAAAGTGTGTGTCTGTCCTACTGAAAGGCATAAAATTTCTAGAAAAAACAAGCCATTGTAAAAGGATGCTTTTATTTCAGTTAAGCAGAAAGTACATAAAAGTACATGGAGATGTGGGGAAAATTGAAATATAAGCACATTCCCTGATACAAGCATTTATAAATCTAAAACCACCTTATTTCGTTTAGAGACTAAGATGCATAATGCATAAGTTATTGCTGCTTGCAGAATTATCAGGTTTTATGGACAAGGACCATGCAAGCACTCAGAAATACCAAAATAGCTGAAGTTTAGGGCCATGCAAATAGGAATAGATTTTTTTTAAATTGTTAAAATTGATTTTAATATTGTAGCATTCTTGTGATTAAAAACCACAGGCCAGGTGAGGTGACTCACACCTATAATCCTAGCACTCTGGGAGGCCAAAGCAGGCAGATTGCTTGAGCTCAGGAGTTCAAGACCAGCCTGAGCAAGAGTGAGACTCCATCTCTACTAAAAATAGAAAAACTAGCCAGGCATAGCACCTATACTCCCAGCTTCTGGGAAGGCTGAGGCAAGAGGATCTCCTGAGCCCAAGTGATGGAGGTTGCTGTGAGCTATGATGATGCCACAGCACTCTACTCAGGGCAACAGAGTGAGACTCTGTCTCTAAATAAATAAATAACAAATAAATAAAACCAGAAGCAAACACTACAGTTGGTATATTTAGAGATGAAAACTCCTCCAAATAGTTTTTCAGAATGAGCAAAATAACCCATGCCTCTGATGGGCTGGGTGTCGCAGGCGAACTTCCCTCACACACTCTTCCCCACCAGTCACAGTCACCAGGACACCCCTGCACTGTTCACAGAGTCTTTCCTCACTGGACAGCCATCCGCACAGGGCCCCACCTTCCCACCCATACTATTCCCCTTGCTCCCCTGCCTTGCCTCTTCAGGGACTTGTGCCCCTCCAGTCAAGAAGCAAAGATAAAGAGAGAACTTTCTGTGTTTTTCTCAAAATTAGCTCAGGTTAGAGATGTGCCCAGCCCAAATGAATAGACTAAAGTCAGTAACCACTTGCGTTTTCCAAGCACCTTCTCACCAGGCACCACCCTAGCTGCTTCATCCCACTCACTCCCAGCACAATCCTACAATGTAGGTGTTGCTGTCACCATGTCACACACCTAAGAGCACACATGCAGCCGGTGGCCATGGTGGGCCCTGGCTGGCTGCATCTGGATCTTTCAGGAACCAGAATGCACACACCTGCTGCGTACAGGCAGTCACACGACCGTGCACAGCTGAGGCATCATAGTTGTTCTAGGACCTGTTCTAGCTACATGGCTCTGGGAGCTGCCAAGAAATTGGACCTTCTACCCAAATGTCAGATCGAGGTGATGTAAGAGGCTGTTTGGGGAACAATGTAAAGAATTGTGCTGGCTTAGGAACTTGATGTGGCCTCAGGTATGAGAGGCTTGCTAAGCTCCATAGCCTCACCCTGAATGGGCAGAGTGCTGTGGCCCCCAACCTCAGTGCATCCCCTTTGGGAAACTGGGGAGTTTAGAGAAGCCGTGCTCCCCAAACATTGCCTGCTGACAGCTCCTGGTTTGCTCTGCTACGAGTGATCTATTGAATTGTTGAACTGACATAACTTTGACAAGGCCTGGGTCATAGACACTAATTCCATAAAAAAATCTAGCATTCCAAGCCAAGGCATCTGACTCCTAGAACAGCTGCATCCTTGAATGGTTATATTGGGGGTGGGGGGAGATATTTTGGAAGAAGTGAATATATCCAGTGCCCCTTAAGAAAACAGCATTGGGAACTGCCTGCTCCATCTATGGCTGAAGCCACACTGTCTCTAGAGATGCCCTTTCTGCATCTTTCTGAAAGTCTTCCTAGAAATGTTCTATGCTTCTTCTGGGGGC